TGATACGGAATCATCAATTACGTATACAAACCTTATAAAAAACGTATCATTTCCTTATTTCGATTTCTTATAGGGCTGACCTGATCTTTATAACAAAAATTAGAAATATTGTAGATATTTAACACAAATTGAATCTTTCAATCATATTTGATCATATGCAAAAGTCTTAGATATATTAATACTATCATAGTTAAAGCATTACAAATACTAAAAGACTAACTTTTTATTTATATGTCGAGATCTAATTAGTCTAAAAATTTATTAATAATTCTAAATCTGCTTTATAAATATTGGCTCTTTACTTCTCACAATTTTCATACTTCCTTTTACTTCATTAACTTTATCAAAGGCATTGTTCCTACATATTTATATTGTATCATAAATAATTTTACTAACTGTAAGAAGTAAACTTATACTATTCATTTACTTTTTATGATATTATATTTGATCTATCAGTTGAATTAATTTAGATATCTTATTATGATATTACTATTCTTACTGAAATATTTCAAAAAATTATTAAAGATATATACCAAGCTTTTCTTCTTCTATAATCTTTTCTACTCTCCTTTCTAATAACGTATATCTTCAATTATTTTGTAACTCATTCATTCACAGTTAGGCCAAACCAAACCAATTCTTTGTTTAACATAACCATCTTTCCTACCATTTTATAAAAACTATAATAAATATTATACATTATATTTAGCCAATAGAATTGCAATATTTTTGTCACGTGATATCTCTAATCAGACAAGTACTAGACAATATTTTTATCCAATTAAAACATGACCAATTTTTGACTGATTAAATTAACTATTTTTAATTAAACTAACTATTTTTGATATTTTGATATCAAACCTTAAATGGAATATTTTTGATACAAACTCTAAATTAATTTAGAAAATGAGAAAAAATCATGTGTAAAAAGAGTTTTTGGAATTTTTTTTATTACAATGTTTTGATAAATTTTTTTTTGTTTAATTTTCTTGTTCATTTTTTATCTTAAATAAATTTTGATGTCAAAAATGATCCCTTTAAATCAAAAATCAATTTATTTTAATAAAATTCTTTTTTTTTTAAAAAAGAAAAAAAAAAGAGAATGACAATACAATAAAAAAAAATAAGTTAATAAAGAATTTGTGGTTTATTTAGCAGAAAAATTGAGATTAAACATCTGGTAATTTTTACAAAATAGATAAAGATTTGTGATTTTTTGAACGTGTAGTAAGTATAGAATCTAAAAATAAACAATTTTTGACCTTTTTGATGCAATAATATCAGGACAATATAATGATAAAGAGGTACAAGTTTTTGTTTGAAAAGACAAGTCTAAAAGTTAGCGGGAAGTTGATAATGGGTTAAGAGGTGATTTAAAAATGTTAAAAGTTTTGGGGTTTTTGCAAGTCAAATTTTGTCTTATTTCTGGATCAGATTTAGATACACCAGATATATCAAATCTCCAACTCAAAATAGGATAAATGCTTTTAGCATTTTAATGGAAAATTTAAGTCGATCCTTACTTCCTTTACGTTATACTAAATATAATAGTTATAATAGACTTTATAATGAAATTATCGAACTATTTAAGGATCAGAAAGTTGGTTAGATAGGAGGTTCACATAATACGATCAGAAAATAACTTGTAATCCGTCTTATAGAAGCCCTTTGGTATATTAATTCATATCTTTTCACATTAAGCACGTTCATATCATTTACCAGTTTTTTTATGCAGCTAAAAACTTATAATGATGGCAAAACATATAATGAATTTTACCATACCGGTCATCATAAGAAAAATCTGTTATCACAACAAAAACTTACACATTTTTCTAGTCCTTTTGAATTATCTATTAATCAACTATATACAAGTAATAATATTTGAAATCAAGTAATGCCCACTATTTTTGCTTTGATAGAAATCCTAAATAAATACTCAGAATATCTAGTTACAACCAATGCTAGTATGAATAAACTTCATAATAGTAATGAAAATGCTCGCAAATTTGAAAATAATAGTACTATATATCGAATTGCTGCTTTTGAATTTAATAGTCTTAATAAAAATTATATTCAACTTAATAATACCTTACTTGAAAAACAATTGTATAAATATATTAATATTCAATCATATCTTCCAACTGATATTATGAAATGACATCAATTTGTAAAAGAATTACAACTTACGTTTCTAATAGATGTATATTTTCTATATTAAACTGAAGTTTATATAAGAATTATTAATAATAATTCAATTTTTAGGTATTATCAAAGCAATTATTTAGGAACTATTAATTATATATGAAAACTCCCAGAAACTGATGTATTTAACGATAAGCAAAATGAAACTCTGAAAGCACGTATGCCAGGGTTAGCATTTGAACATTTGGTCAGTATTTGGCTATGGCCATTTGACCATTGGCCGCGGCCAAAATGGCCAAAGTTTTGGCTGGCCAAATTGGCCAAATATATATTTATATTTACCAATCTGATAATTCTAATTCAAATAAGTTAAAT